GAGTAGCATTTTGAAAGAATTTCACAGAAATTTCTATTTTTAGTAACCACGGCAACACCGTTCATCGAAATCAAAAACCGATACACAGAATTATGTATCATAGTGTAGTCTACTTGTGTGCCAAGTTATATTGAAATTAGACCAAAACTGTAGGAGGAGTAGCATTTTGAAAAATTGTTTACAGACAGACGGACAGATGGACAGCTAGACAGCTAGACAGACGGACAGACGGACGGACGCCGGACGCATTACTATCGCATAAGCTCTTCTGGTCTCTTACCAGTAGAGCTAAAAATACTGCAGAAAAACAAATGAAGTGGACAGTAAAATATGGAGGAACAATCACTTGTGTGCATGAACACTGAAGTTTTATTTCTTGATAATATTATAATAGAAAAAAGTGCAACTGCATGGAAGTAAATAAAAGCATTCTTGAGAAAATATTATCTGAGACGGACATTAAACTTAACATTTATATATCCTGTCAAGAGATGAAATCACCAACTCTGTACAAGTATATTATCCGAGGAAAATTGCCCTACAGGCACGAACTATAGGTGAGGGGGTGCTTCCTGACTTTTTCATATACATATTTTCAAAATTTTAATTTAAAAAGGAAATTTTCATGAAAGGTTAGTAAAAACCTCTTTCCCATTTTGTCACAGTAAGGTCATTTTCCTGCATCTCATTATACTATAGTACTGTATTTCTTATATATAAGAAAGAGACTTCCATTTTTTTTTTTTTGGGGGGGGGGGGGGGGGGGTTTCACATTTTTAATCAAGAATCTTTTTGGCTTGTCTATTACCCCCCCCCCCCTTTTCATATTCAGTCTGCTCACCATATGCTTAACATTTATTTAGTTTGTTTAAAAGAAATAACATTTATATACACGATAAAAACATGCAGATATTTTTTTTCTCTACCATTTTCTACTCTAGGTACATTCATTGTACATCTCTCTTAGCGCAGATTTCTCGGATGGGTATATAACAGCCTCGGTAACCTTCCGTCATGTGCGCAGGCACCTGAAAAATGGTTGATGTACATCCACCACCCCCACCGAGATATTTTTGGACACGATAATTCCGATTTACTTGTCTATCTTTTCAAAAAAAAAATTCCTTGTCTATCGTACCAATATATACTTTGATATTTGATACGGTCCTTCGGATGAGACCGTATAAACCGAGGTCCCGTGTCGCTGAAGGTGCTGCCAAGAAAAAGATCCCTTCTTGCTCTATGGCCCTAAGTGCCGAGCACAGGACAAAATTTTCAGCTTTCCGCCGGCAAATGATGGTGTCTTCATATGGGTGAAAAATAAATAAATAAATAAATAGACTCTATAAATCGATATTTGATTATCATCTTCCGTTTTCTGTCAAGTTTTAGAAATTGTTCTTTTACGGTTTATGAAAACTACAAGGACTTTTTATGGCTTTGACAGCATGCTAGAGGTAGTTTACAGCAAGATACATGTTCTTTTGACTTGGCGCTGCGTAATACATGTATGTTAATATACCAAGCACATACTGTAAAGGGACAATCTCTGTAACTTAACAAAAACGGAAAATATCAAAGTATATATATATTTATGGTATTAGTATGTAGACGAGGAATTCATGTATATTGTCTTAGTTAAATTTTTAATAGGAGAGAGGGGGCAAAATCTCAGGTGCCTCACATCTTGTCTAGTACAGCACTGTAACTAAAATAATTCAAATAAAAATTTTAAAACCTTTCCCTTCAAACAGTATTGGGGCTTTAAAACCTATAAACTGAGAAACTAAAATACGATTTATACACAACATAAACAAGAATAACATTTCAACACTAGTTTAATATAAACACTTTGCTCATTGACATAAATATTTACATTCAAATGTATATTACAACACTTTTTGGCTTCTTGGGGCTACTCGACTATCTACTAACGCTGGGGGCCCAGTAAGGTGTACAGGTACCTGGGTGTGCCCAGCAGGTAGCTGTAAATCTAACAGTCAAGACCCTGGGGTAGATCACGGCAGGGTGAGCAGGTACCCGGGGGGAGCCCGGCAGGTATCTGCAATCTAAATAGGGATGATTCTAAAATTTACTATAGTCAAGACCCTGGGGTAGATCCCAGCAGGGTGAGCAGGTACCCGGGGGGAGCCCGGCAGGTATCTGCAATCTAAATAGGGATGATTCTAAAATTTACTATAGTCAAGACCCTGGGGTAGATCCCAGCAGGGTGAGCAGGTACCCGGGGGGAGCCCGGCAGGTAGCTGCAGTCTACTAGGGAGGATTCCTAACTTTTACTGACTCTGGGGGAGCCCAGCAGAGTCGACAGGTACCTGGGGGAAGCCCGGCAGGTAGCTGTAACCAAAAAACAGAATTATACAGTGAAATTTACATGATCAAATTCCGTCATTTATATCAAGTTAAATAGAATAAACAAATATGACAAATTACTTAAGTCATTAAATAAAAATAATAGAATTTGTTGGGGCTTTAAGGGCCTTAACAGTCAAGTAGCCAACAACATATTATGAAAATACATACGAACTGAACATATCTTAAAGATACAAAGTAACTCAACATTTAATAATGATACATACGAACTATACTTTACGATAAACATGTACAATAGACACAAGAAATTATATACATGACAAGTTATACATATTTCGAACAATATATGGTGATGTTGGGGATGGTGGGAGGGATAGGTAAAATTTATCGCATAATATCACAACACTGCTGCTGCATCTGGTCAGTAATTTTCCAATGGCTGGTCAGAAACAGATCACGTGACACATGTTCATTTGCATATGTAAACATTCTATACTTAGATACGCATAACTGAATCTCCACACAGTAGCACGGTACATATATTGTGTATAAACTAATATTACATAAATAAACATTTTATACACAACATAAACAAGAATAACATTTCAACACTAGTTTAATATAAACACTTTGCTCATTGACATAAATATTTACATTCAAATGTATATTACAACACTTTTTGGCTTCTTGGGGCTACTCGACTATCTACTAACGCTGGGGGCCCAGTAAGGTGTACAGGTACCTGGGTGTGCCCAGCAGGTAACTGCAAATCTAACAGTCAAGACCCTGGGGTAGATCCCGGCAGGGTGAGCAGGTACCCGGGGGGAGCCCGGCAGGTATCTGAAGTCTAAATAGGGATGATTCTAACATTTACTATAGTCAAGACCCTGGGGTAGATCCCGGCAGGGTGAGCAGGTACCCGGGGGAGCCCGGCAGGTAGCTGCAGTCTAAATAGGGATGATTCTAACATTTACTATAGTCAAGACCCTGGGGTAGATCCCAGCAGGGTGAGCAGGTACCCGGGGGGAGCCCGGCAGGTAGCTGCAGTCTACTAGGGAGGATTCCTAACTTTTACTGACTCTGGGGGAGCCCAGCAGAGTCGACAGGTACCTGGGGGAAGCCCGGCAGGTAGCTGTAACCAAAAAACAGAATTATACAGTGAAATTTACATGATCAAATTCCGTCATTTATATCAAGTTAAATAGAATAAACAAATATTACAAATTACTTAAGTCATTAAATAAAAATAATAGAATTTGTTGGGGCTTTAAGGGCCAAACGAGTGATGAAATGACAATTGAGAGATTGCATGAGACACGAGAGCCCCAAGAAGTTAAATATTCAACTTGTAGCATTTATCAACTGATATATACATCATCTACTTAAAACAAGAGCTGAGTTTTCCTTGAGCTTCTTGTAGCACATTTGAGGATGTTCTTATGTATCTACTGTAACAGTTAGATGACCATCTACCCAATGTTTGTATGAGGTGATCCTCTATACCCGCTGCAGCTGCAGATGTTGCTGCACCAATTCTAAAAGAATGTCCGCAGTACTTCTGATCATCTAAGTTCAAAAGTCGTAACATGTGTCGTAACATACCTATAAAGTTTTCTCTGTACAAAATTTCACCATTAAAATCTACAAACATTGGTGACTCTGGTAATAATACATTACTAGACCTCATCTGCCTAAATTGAATCATAGATGTGACAGGGTACAAAGGTGGGACATTGAAGACTTGTATCTGCACACCTGATCTGAAAGGATCTGTTTTCGACTTTCTAAGATTCAGAGTATAACTAGAATGATCCTGAGCAAAACTTACATCATTAAACAAAATACAATCATTTGTGTCTGTCTTATTTCTAGCAGTAAACTCACCACACCGTAAAAAAGCAAAAAAAGCCATTTGACATACAGCAAGCATCATTTTGTCAGTGTAACATGAAAAAACACCTGCTTCTAACAATTTTGTGATTTTGTACAAAATGGCAAAAGTAATGGGGAAGCATTTATGTACATTAATATTACAGGTTGACAAACTTTGTGATCTTTTGACTCCCCTAAGAATGCATTCTAAACGTTGCATATTCATCAAAGGATTTTTATACCCTGCCCGAAGATAATGATATCTTATACCTGCTAAGTATAACCGGATTGTACTGTAACTCAGAAAAAGTGCCTTATAACAATAAGTAACAAACTGAATTAACAAGTCTTCTGAGATACATGGTAATGTATCTTCAATAACAATATTACTTAAAGCAACAAAACATAAAAAATGATCAATAGCAGTTTTATAAGTCTTTGCTGTTTGTGGACTTATGGCTGCGTCCCATAGATGTTCGACATCTTCTTTCAGTCCATCATAAGCTGGTGCGGCTGAACACAAGGTGTTGGTTTCACATAAGCCTCTGGTGCTAGTTGCCGAAACTTTGTCATCTTCCACTATGGATTGTCGAAGTTTAGGTTGGACTGTCTCTATATAAGGAAGGGATTCAAGGCTGAAGCCATACTTAGTTCTCACGTGGTTGTGGCTGTTGCTGATATACGGCGAAGTCGTAGTGCCGTTGAATGTGCCATAGGCTGTAGACAAAGTATTACTAGTAGCTGCTGCAGTAGAACTCGGAGTAACTGACGATGTACTAACGTTCATTGCTTTCGTAACCTGTTGTATCTGGGCACATTTATTGTCATTTATTTCATTTCGTAATTTAGCCAGTTCTTGTAGAATAATTGCTACATCACCGCCATCTTTGTTGTTTACATTTCTGCTCTCCGGTTCGATTTCGCGCCGTTCTGTGATTGGCTGTTCCGTTAGCCTCCCTGTACTATCATTGCTTGTACGGTAAAGTCGTAACAATTCCGATTTCCTGCTTGTGGTAGGGGCCGTTATGCCTCGCTTCATCAATTCTTCTCGGATTTTAGTTACCGTCCAATTAATAGGATTGTTCATGTCGTAAATCACAGATTGTCTAGGATTACTATGTTGATTCCTCGTTGGACCCATGATCAATAGTTTGTAAACAAATCGTAGTAAAACACGTGGAAAATCACATGGTAAGTTGAAAGGATATCACAAATGATCACAGAAATAATCCTATGTCCGTTTGTTTTAGTTAAATAAATGATAATAGGTAAAATTTATCGCATAATATCACAACACTGCTGCTGCATCTGGTCAGTAATTTTCCAATGGCTGGTCAGAAACAGATCACGTGACACATGTTCATTTGCATATGTAAACATTCTATACTTAGATACGCATAACTGAATCTCCACACAGTAGCACGGTACATATATTGTGTATAAACTAATATTACATAAATAAACATTTAAATTTTGAAATAAACCCAAGAAATCCGTCAGACATTTTATATTTAATCAAACTGTAGACTAAACCAGCCACGTAGTGCATAGTTTTTGAAAGGGGGACAGCCAGGGAAAAGTTTTAAAAGTTGACAAGCAACAAAAGGGGGGGGATTGCCCAAACTCGAAATCCTAGTAAGCGTAATGTTTGTGAAAAAATGGGGAGGCCCCCCTCCCCTGTGGCTACATGTACGTGCCTGTAAACTGATCTATGTAAAAATATTGGTCATATTTATAGCTTTGTATGTTTATTGGGCTCAAAACCATTTCTCTTCGACTCTCAATTTAATATGAATACTAGTATTCTCCTCAATTTCAGGTTCGTTTAACAATAAATAAATATACTCATATCTTGTCCCGAATTATTATTAAAGTTAAAAGCGCACATGACAGCATTTAGAGAACAATAATTTTACAAACTCGTCAATATAGTGTGCACTTCCTATTTCACATTGTCTCGAATGACGTCATGCAACAAGGGAGATAAGCGATTTACAATAAATGATCCACTTGTCACTCAGGTAAGTTTAAACGACATTTAATGATGGAAATTGGTGACAAAAAATTAAACAGACCTCAGAATGTTATTAATATTATTCTAGAGGCTGATAATAATGAATAATTATGAATTTTCACATAAATATTATATTTGACCTTTAAAGCTTGGATAGACATAATTGTTATCAGTAAGCAATCCGTGGGATATTTAAATCTATTTTTACAAACCAGGAAGTAAATGACAGAACTCGCTTAAATCTCATGTAAAATCATTAGAGGACATTCCAAAGTCAGAGATACAACAACATTCATTTCTTGGACATTCAAAGCATCGTAAGTCAATCAATAGTCATTTTTCAAATGATCAGAAATTTTTCCAATTATCTGACAAGATTAGTTTTCTGAACATCATGCATTTAAGGCTGGCAGGTATCAAAAAAGATTTTTGAATCGGACATGCCTTTACATGTCCTTCAGTTGAACATTGCTATTTAATTTCATTGGATTTAATTACTCTTTCAAAGTCTGCTTAAATAATTGCAGATGGCACAATCCAAACCAAGAATACCAGGTACAGCCCAGCACTTTTTAGAGTGTGGCATTAAAGACTGTGAGAGAAACTGTGAATATTACTGCAATCCTTGCCACCAACAGATGTGTGAACGATGTAGAGATGAACATCTGAGAAATCCAAAAACAAAAAACCATGAAGTGGTCCTTTACCAGCTACGGAAACGACAACTTCCTGTTAAGAAATGTGAGATCCACCCCACCAAGGATATAGATCTTCTCTGTGAAGAATGTAAGATCCCTTTATGTTCCAAGTGTACTGCCACTCCAGAACACAGAGGCCATGCCTTCACTGATTTAGAGACCATCTATGCTGAGAAGTTCTCATTCTGTCTAGAAGAAATTACCAAATCGCGGGAGTATTTTCTGCCAACATCACAAGACATACGAAAAGAAATTAAAGGAGATGCCACAGAAATCAAGAAGGTTATAGACAACATAAGAACCTCCATGAAGGCTGAAGCCGAGTCCCTTAAAAGTCTGGTGGATAAAGTGCAAACAGAGAACATGAAGGAGTTAGACCAGATAGAGCACTCACTGCTTGAAGATTTAAAAACCCAGGGGAAAACATTTGATGAATACATCATTCACCTCAACAACCTAATAAAGGAGTTCCAGGATTTCCTCTCCTCACCAGATCCCACAAAATTAACTTTGACACTCTCTTTGGTGGATATGAAAATCCAACCAATACCAGAGACAACAAAACCAGTAACACCAGTATTTACTGCTGCCCAATATGGCAAAGAGGATGTTGCCAAATTATTGGGAAAAATAAATATCCCAAAGACAAAACCAAAAACAAGGAAAATAAAGCCAATGGAAGTTTCATCTACCCTTACACCAAAGAAACCTACAAGTAAACAGTTAAAATCTGACAAAGAGAAAAAAACACTGTCTCTATCTTCCTCTGTCACTAAGGTCAGAAAGTTCAAAGTACCAGATGTTTATAATGTATGTCATATGTCACTAGATCAGTCAGGCAGACTCTGGGTCAGTGATAATGCTGGTAACCTTGTCCAAACAGATCTACAGGGGAATCAGCTACAGAAGATAGAAACCAGTGACGGATATGGTTACCACACAGTGACACAGGATGGAGATCTGATCTTTACAGACAAATATGATGATGTCATCAATAGGATAACACAGGATAACAATATCACTGAATTCATTAAAACAGGAGATTGGATACCAATCAGCATACACTCCTCCCACATCAATGGGGACTTACTGGTGGGGATGGAGACAGATAGAGAGGCTAAAGTCATCAGGTACAACAAGATAGGGAAAGAACTACAGAACATACAAAGGGATAACAAAGGACAGGAACTGTATAGTAATCAACAATACATAACAGAAAACATCAATGGAGATATCTGTACATCAGACATTGATAAAAAGGCGGTAGTGGTGGTGAATAAATCAGGACAACACAGATTCTCCTACACAGATCAGGAGTCAGGGTTCTATCCCTATGGAATCTGTACTGATGTCCTCGGTCACATACTGGTGTGTGATGATTACAAAGTTCACATTCTTGATCAGGATGGTCAGTTTTTATCTCTAATAATCACACCAGACACAGGGATTAATCCCAACTGTGTATGTGTGGATGATGAGAACAATATTTATATGGGAGATTACAATGCAGAAGTTATAGTTTACAAGTATCTTCAGTGATTTGTATTCTTAAATCTAACAAACTGTGGCTGCGTATTATTATTTATACTTCAATTAACAGAATTAATTGTACACTTATCACAGATTTAATTTTGCATACCTTGTGATGCAACAGAATAATCAGATATAGGTTTAAGATTAATAGATAACTAAATGTGGTTTAAATTGGACCTTCAGTAGAACATGTCAAAATTTCCTATTACATGTACTTAATAGCCATTCTCTGTAACCACTTAAACTTCGTTGCCACGCATGGTCACCGATTTTGATGAAACTTCACCCATGCTTAGTACTTGACTTCAGAAACAAATATCAAACAAAATTTCGTTGCTAAGTGTCTCGGTTGCTATGGCAACAGCCGGAAAAGTTTGAAAAATCGAGATTTTCAGCCACTTTAAATCTTGACTGTCGCTTAATAAAAACTAGAAAAAGCAAACAAACCATTCTCACAAAAACATGATACCTTGATGTCACTTATACTGTTAAGAAACTGTTTAGAATATATCTCTAAGTAAGTGGTAACCAAGGGTACATTTGGAATACAGTGGACCTTCAGATATCCGGACGCCAGATATCCGGATGCTTCAGTATCCGGACGATTTTTCATCGGAACGAAATTTTAAAATGTTATTCTGTCTTGTTTAACTGGTGATTCAGATATCCGGATGCTTCACATATCCGGACAAATTGACTGGGAACCAAAGCGTCCGGATAAATGAGGGTCCACTGTACATTTAAAATGCTGAAATATGCTGAAAAACACCCCGTATTCACTAATGGTAGGTGTTACATGCTCAAACTCAATCAATGACTTAAGAAAAACAATGAAAATGTTTGACCTTAAGTATATAAGTGTAAGCAATATTATTCTATAAATAACTTTTATGGTTGCCATGGTAACACAGTGTAACCATGCAAAATCAGTAAATAAGATTGGGTTAATGCTACCGTCTTGAGGAAAAACATGAAAATTCAAGACTGGCAAATATGCATCCTTAGGACCTTGCAACACCAAAACCATAAGAAAAATTGGGTATAAATCCTACTTTGCAGTGTTACCATGGAAACAAAGAACCAGTGCTTAAAAGTGAATTATTTTTTGCTGCATTAAGAATTAAGTTGCCATTTAATCAAGAAACAAATTAAAGGACTCAGTTTGAATAGTACTTATCTGTTAGAACTGAAGTTGAATATCATACATTGATAACCTTTGATGAAGAAAACAACACTGTTGCTATGGTTACCAAGATGGGAAAATGTTCGATTTTGTGAACTTTATATCAATATTAAACCCTGTGTGCCAACTTCTTGCATCAACTTAGAGATTGGATGACAGTCAAAATTGAAAGTCATGTTTGCTGTTAATAAATATCAATCATAAAAGTTTTGGTAATCTACATTTAAGGGTACGTATCCAAGGAAAGAAAATATTTTTCAGGTTTTTAAGCACATATTTACTGCTTATTTCCATAGCAATGCTCTATTTAAAGAATCTTATCTGAATTTTTGCAAATGGGATAACTAGGAGCACATCAACATCTTTAAAAATTGATCATTAGTTATGAGGAAATGTGCTTTTTTAAAAGAGAGGATCAGATTTAAACATGTACAGAATGTTACTTGTGAAGGCTCTCTGTGGTATAAAAACCTTGACAACCATTGCCAACCAAAATGAAATATCATATTTTGTTCATGATATATGTTTCAAGGCTCTTTTATCTATTATTTGGTCACATTTCATCCTATTACTGCTTTTTATTTTTAGTATAGGACTTTATAAAATTCAATGAATTTTTTTTTTACTTTTGAATACTTTGTTACCATAGTAACGTATGTAATAGTTGATTTACCAAACATATTTATCATGCATTTGAGACATCTGACCTTCAATTTTTGGAAACAGTCATTGCCAATTGTTTGCTTTGCTGCAAATGTTAACAATGGGGCTCTAAACATGTTAAAAAATGCCATTTTTCGAACTTTAAGACATGTTGCCATGGTAACTATAAGACATAGCAACCAATATTTGCCTGATTTCAGTTTAGGGTATCAATGACTTTTATCATAGAGAGTTTGGAGAAATTCTGAGACTATGTGTGCCACAGCTCCTATATAAAATTTCAAATCATTACAGAGAATGGCTCTTAATTTTTTAAAAAAGAATCTTAATTACCCGTACGAAAGTTCGAGGCGGAATAGACACGGCTTGGGCACGGCTAAGACATGGAATCCGTACGGGTTTTTAAAAAGCCGCACGGGTTCTGCATGTCCAAGACACGGACACGGCTTCCGTGTCTGAAAGTGAGGAATCCTCACTCACAGAAACCCGTGTGGAGACACGGACTCCGTGTACCAGGGAGACGGTTTTTTACTGAGGCGGGTTTTGCTTCAAACTATTTATTTATATCTCACGGCTTTTTACTGAGCATGCTCAATCATAACTTCCTTTATTTGAATATTAAATTGGAGGGATTCTTGGTCATGAGCTAAGTCAATGTGTCTTTTTGCTCTATTTAAAGGATATTTAACCAATAGATGTCAGTTGAATTGTATTTATGTCAGTCTGGAATAATTTCTTCACTTTTAAACTAAATGCAGTAAGTGTAATCTAGAATAAATTAGTCAATTTTTCAATTTTCATGATCTTCCTGTATTGCAATGTTGACAATGAACATGATGAAATAGTTTAGGCTTATTTGAATGATTTTAGTTGGACTTTCACTAATGTGACATTACTGTGCTATAGATTGAAAGTTTTATTTATACAGTAAATTCTTTCTCAGATTGTGCAAACTTATAGCTACTAGATTAAATTACAATTGAATATTAATGTACATTATCATTAAAATCTTAATTAAAAACTAGCATGAATTGTAACTGATAAAGTTAATCTTTAACAGAAAGTAAATGTACACATTCATATAAGATTTTGAATTTTTGAAATTCTAAAACTAAGCATAAATGTAAAGCAATGTGAAGTTAGTTTGGTTTCAGTCACTATTTTGGCATTCACTGAGTTACATCAGGACATTCTCTAAAGACAATGACCTAGATCTAGACGAATGCACAGATCCCGTGACTCCTTATATGGTATAAGGCACGGCTTTTTTGACACGGGTTTCAAAAAAAACGTGTCTCCATATATGGAAAAGGACACGGGTTTCAGACACGCGGGTTTACAGAATCCGTGAGTCCATATATGGAAACAAGCACGGCTTTCTGACACGGGTTTTGTAAAACCGTGTGATCTCATTTAAATAATTCGGCCAATATCCTGTGCCGTGTCCGTGCCTCGACCACTTTTAGGCACTGCTTTCCATACATGCTTTACATAGGAGCACGGAATGCTAAAGCACGGGTTTCAGGAGACGGAATCCGTGCCTGAGCCGTGTCTAAGCCGCCCGGACTGTTTCATACGGGTTGCTTGATAGAGTAATTGTTTATTTAAAGTATATGTAATTGAAACATTTCTTGCATTTTTTCTTTGTCATCACATTTATTATGGCTGTGCAGAGCACCAAAAGTTTTTTCCATTTTAAACCAATGTAAAACTTGTGGCCCTGCATAATAACGCAAGACAGTCTGTTCACGCAAATTTATTTCTAGTGTACAATAGTATTCCTTATGATTATGTAGAGCAATAAACAAATTAATTTCATGAAAATTTTGTCTCGCTTACCAAGAATAAAAGCCTATCTTTTGAAAATAAGGTGTCGCAAAAATTTATAGATCTACAGTATTTCAATGTAAAACTTCCCCATTGTGAACCCGTTCTACCCCATGGGATTAAAATTTAAACAATTCAAGATCTACACTACACCAGGATGCTTCAAAATATGTTTCAGCTTTCCTTGCACATTGCTTCTTGAGAAGATTTTTTAATAAACCCATCCTTTTTAAGTCTCTTTTCTATATTATCTCCCCTTTGAAGGGGACTTGGCCCTTCATATTAATAATAACTAGAAAACTGACCAGTCAGCAAGGGCCCCGCCATGGGGTAGAATTATAAGGGTGCAGCTTATGGAATGATTCAAAAATATATGACAAATAAGAAACAGCAACTGTATTCTTAAAATTTCAAGATAATTCCTGAATATCCAAAAACTTGTTAATAATATCCTTGTATTTACATAAGGCAGTAAAGAACAACTCAAAATGTATATCTAAACAATAATGAAGGCAGCTTGTGTTATATAAAATGCCAGCCTTCCAATGAATGCAAATACATATCATGAAGGCTTGACCTAGCTTAACTTCAAAACAAACAGCAGTTGCAGACAAAGGTTTTCATTAATCTTAAAGTGACAGATAAAGATAAGCCTTCTAAATTTTCTGCAGCAGACTAGATAATTAATCCCAAGGGATTAATTGTACTTCTCTCTCATCATTTTCTTCTGAATTTATAATAAGAACTTTTTTAGTAATGATAGAATTACGTTTTTATCCTACTACCTTAAAAATCAATAATATTCTTGAATTTACATGAAGCAAGAAAAAAAATAAATAAAAATAAAAAAAATATATCTTCTTTAATCTATTTCTTGCTTTAAGAATTCAGTGAACTCATTGTGTAGGGTATTTCAACAAAAATTTTAAAAGTAAAAACATTTATACTTCAATCCACTTAAATGGACTTAACTTCAAAACAAACTTCATTTGTAGAAAGAGGGGGTAATTAATCTCAATGTGACAGGTAAAGATAATGCTTTAGATTTTCTTCAGGAGGAAAGCTAATTACTCCCAAGGGACTCATTCACTGCAGTATTCAGTTTACAATGGGAACATTTTCAGAAGTTATTTCTCTTTGCCAATTCATTCTTATATAAAGTTAAGGAATCTACCCCACCACCCCAGCTCCAAACCAGAGGACATAGAGAAACAAACTTAGCATCAAAATATGTCTTTTTGCCTACTGAACTACCATACCAAATCTGAACTTAATTGGACTACCATAAAAAAAGTTATTAGGAAAAAACAGAAAATTTGTGGACGGAAGAATGACAGACGGACAGACAGACGGACAGACAGACAGACAGAGTGATTACTATAGGGCACCCGTAAATCCTTGCGGGGCCCTAATAAAATCTCTTCTTCACCCATGCTTTGTACCAAGTTTCCTTAAAATTGGTCCAGCGGCTCTTGAGAAGAAATTGAAAATGTGAAGAGTTTACAGACTGATGGACAGGCGGACGGACATTGGGTGCTTAGAAAAGCTCACTTGAGCTTCCAGCTCAGGTGAGCTAAAAAGGCAGCCAAAAAGAAATCGGAAGTGTTTGCAGTTATTTACATTTGAGTTTTTGACACCGCACCCACCCATAGTTCGATGTCTTTTTAATATTCACATGGTTTTCAAGATATGAAAGAATAGATTCCCTAAAATTAAAAGGAATCAGCAAGGTTTAAGGTTGTCTACAGTTAAGTTTCATTTACTTTCATCAACAATCTCAAACCTGCAGATATTTGTGGATGTGCCTGGGACCCTGTTTTCCATCATTGACTGACTCCACTGTTGTTTGGGCCACCCCTGCTAGATCCCCTCCACAGAATACCCAGGGGAGCACTGCAAAGAGGAGCTGACCCTTGCAACTTATTTACCAAAATGCATTCAATGTGGGCTACTATATCTCCTAAAAGATGGTTTAAAGGGGTTACTAAGTAACTAGCTGAAAACATCATTATGTATCACCAGTGAAAATTCTGTTACCATGCATTACAACTTGATAATCCCAGTCATTGTATTTACCTGGATTATCACCAAAATTTCTTTTTACATGTACTTTTTTTGGTTTAATGCTTTAAAATTTTAATAATAATTTCAAAAGCACATCTCTTTGTACTGCTGAAAGTTTTTTACAAAACTTAATGATTTCCTTTATTAAAAAAAGAGGTGCATATTCATATAATTTTTCTATTCCAATGACCGAGTTCATTTCTTTTAAAGATTTTGATCTACTTTCAAGCATTTCGATGCACACATGCTTTGATTTTATAGAGATCTACTGCATGTCATGTACCTAAGGTGCATAAAATTGCTAAAAAGGTCACTTGAGTGAATCACTAATACATACCATCTGTTTCCGTCAGTCCTGAGCCAAATGCCGAGATGATGTAATTAGCCTTGATGCGGATGATTTCTTCCTCATCTTCCACCCAGTTCCCTTCATCATCCATCTCTGTTCTGACAAACTCCATCCCCGTAATCACTCCATTCTTTGTCATCACTTTTCTAGGGGCCAGGAAGGGCAAGAACTCACATTTCTCCCCTTTTGCCAACTCCATCTAGGTGGGAAATCATATCACTGAGTTAATAAAGATAATCAAAACTGTTGAATATAAGAATAATTTCTCACAAAAAATCTACTTGAATCAGACACTTTTTTTGCATCAAAATCTTTAGATTTTAAGAAACCTACACTGAAATGATTCTGTTATGTCAGCAAAAATCAGAATCTTCTTGAGGTCAGGCATTTCTGCAGAAATAGTGAAAAGAAAAAAAATCACAAAAATTAGAAAAAAATTCAGTTGTCAAATTGAGGATATAAATCAATCATTTTCACAGAGTTAGACTAAGTATACGCTGCATAAAGATTATTAAAATAATAATACACTACTGGAGTATATGAAGGATAAACACGTTTGAAGAAGGTAAATGATAATAATAATACTTTTTTAAAGAAGGTAACCTGATTAGTGCAAGCACCATTCTTCCCCAGGGCCTTCTGACAATTAAGTAACAATACAAAAATACATAGTTATACAGACATATTATAAATATATAAATATACAATTACAAATAAACATGAATCACAAATTATTCTGACATTGTTTTACATAATGTTTTACTTGTCTCTTGAAAGAATTAAGAGTTGGTGACATTTTTATGTGCACTGGTAAAGCATTCCATAAAATGACATCAGAATACTGGAAGGAATTTTCAAAAAGTTTGCATTTATGAATTTGCACACACAAATCAACATTGGATTAAGATCAAAGAGTACGTATATTGGTTATTAATTTGAAATTTAAAAATTTGATGTAAATAAGTAGGACAATAATTAAAAAGGGATTTATATAACAATACATATTTATTTACAGTAAGCTGTTCATAAACAGTAAGCCAATCAATTTCATCAAAAAGGGGTCGTGAGGGTGCATCAAGGGGCATCCGGAACACCTCGGGCCTTTCCCAGAATTTTCTGTGAAAGGCCCGAGGTGTTCCGGATGCATCAGGGGGTGCATCTAAAATATACCTTGCAGCATGTTTTTGAAGTACCAACAAGTTTGCCTTGGTCCATTTCATATAACCATTTATCTGTAATTTTTGTAAGGATTGTTTGACATGAGTGCAATTCTCTGAAACCTGATTGAGATTCTATTAAAAGTCTGATAATAGCAATCGTACATATTTAGCTACATATTTTTCTATATTTTTTGATAATGTCGGTAAAATAGAAATGGGTCTGTAGTTATTTGGATCTAGCTTGTTTCCCTTTTTATAAATAGGTGTAACTTTGGCAAGTTTAAAATTTTTTGGGAAAATACCTGATGTAATACTAGTATTTATTATATGGGTTACAGGTTTAAGTATTATTTGTGCAGCAAGTTTTAATAAATGTGGACCGATGGTATCTACACCTGATGATTTATTAACATCTAGCTTGTATGGTAAGGAAAGCACTACATCAGGCTAATAAGCGGGATAATTTAGACTGTACAAAATTTAAAATGCCATCGAAATCACACTCTTCTTTATTTACTCCTTCAAGGAGTTTAGCCGAGACATTTGAGAAATGAGAATTAAATATCTCTGCAATTTCTTGTGTATCCTCTGTTACATTAATTATTATTTTGTTCAAGTGCCGTCGAACTATATTTTTTTGGGGTAGAATCTAATTTGTTTAATGCATCCAACATCTGGCGTGGATTTTTGTTTTGCTCTACAGTTGATTTATAATGATTAATTTTTGCATTTTCAATTAGTGATGTTATTTTGTTCGCCATAATCTGTAGTTTTCAAAGTCCTTAATTTTATGAAAATCATTGCGCTTGTGCTGTGCTTCAAGAATTTCTTAGGTTAACCATTTTGGTCTTGCATCATACTTATTCTTTTAGATTTCATTTTTGCATGTTTGTCTAGTACAGCATTAAAAAGTGAATAAAATTTATTTAAGGCATCATTAGGATTAGAGAGTGAATCTAAGCATTGGAAATTAACTTTTTCCAATTCTGAGAGAAAGTTTATTTCATTAAACTTTTTGAAGTCTCTGTATGTCATCTCCCTGTGCTTATACTCCTTTACATAATCATGTAATTTTCTTGTAAAACAAATAGGATAGTTGTCAGAGATTGCAATTGGCAGTACTACAGATTCAAATATGTTCTCAGGTAGGTTAGTATATACATGATCAATTATGGTTGAGGAAGCATTTGTTATTCTCGTGGGTACATTAATTATCTGTGAAAAGTCAAATTCATTTGATACCTTATTCCTAGGAACTCAGCCTCATATGTATCCTATGTCATATACATTGTTTGAGACTCACTTGGTATGGGACTACAGATGCAGTTAACATGTAGATGACCTAGAAGGACCTATAACTAGGTCACTATACACCCATCACTCAAGGCTCAATAGAACTTGTCAACAAAACATCAGCCAGGTCTAATCAAAGGGGGAGAAAATTCATTTAGGACAAAGAATTAACACAAGACTTGTTTTTGACCATGACCTTTCATATAAAACTTGAAGGGAGGCCCAATCATTTCATAAATTACTTTTTGTTAAGAACTAAATAATTTGACTTAAACTACAGAAAAAAAAATCTTACACAAAAACGTTTTTCCAAGGGTTAAAAATGCAAATTATGGTGGTCTCCACTCCAATGTCAAGCAAATTCCACATATTGAATTCATTTAAAATGGAATATGATTTTTTAAAGCACACCTAGCAAGTATATAAGAATTTAAGGAAAAACTAACCTGGAAATCCCATCCTACCCCTTGGGGTCATGATTTGAACAAACTTGAATCTACACTACCTGAAGATGCTTCCATATCATGACCAATCATGGTTTTGCCGTTCTTGAGAAGAATTTTAAAGCTTTTCTCTATGTTAAACTTTGATCCCCCTTTATGGCCCCATCCTACCCCTGGAGGACATGATTAAAACAAACTTGAATCTACACTACTAGAGGATGATTCACATGAGTTTCATTTTTAACAGCCCAGTGGTTCTCGAGAAGAATTTAAAGATTTCCCCCATGTTAAACTTTGACCCCCCCATCATGGCCCCACCCTACCCCTGGGATATTTGAACAAACTTGTATCTATACTACTTGAGGATGCTTCCAAAGGAGTTTCATTTTTCCTTCACCCAACAATACTTTGTGGCAAGTTTGGTTGAAATTGGCTCAGTGAAGATGAAAATGTGAAAAGTTCACGACGACAACTCCGCCAACAACAATGACAGACAACCGATAAATTTTGATCAGAAAAGCTCACTTGAGCCTTTGGCTCAGGTGAGCTAAAAATGTAATATGATTTACCAAAGTATATAAAAATTTCAGGAAAAACTAACCTGGAAACCATAACAGACAAAATGATTGCATGCAAAATTTTATTTTATTCAACGACTAGATATGGTTAACAATCAGAACATGCAAATTTGTACATTTGTCCTGGCCTGAGTAATACATGTACCCTTTTCCTATGTAAATAGACTCTAATTAACTTGAAAATGTAGTTATATGTGCATATACTACAACATACAAAAAAGATATTTCCCTCTATGCAAATTCAATACTAAATTGTATTAAATAAACAATACAAAATTTATATAAAATGGATTTCAAACACAAATTTAAAGTTAATGTGACAAAACAAAATGTTGACATTTTGTATAAATAAGATTTTTTTGGGATTGCGTATTTCAAGAAGTCTGCAGAATTGATAAGCCTGCAATCTATTGTATAATACTTCACAAACATTCATGTACTTAATAAAAACAAGGAGATAGAATTACAATATAATAATAAGAAATATATAGCACCTATGACACCAGCCATATTCTGAGAGAAAGATACATACACTGTATAAATTTAATATTGAGTTATTTTATACTAAAAAGTGCAATACAGCAAATACTGTACTCGCAAGGAAAAAAAATTGTCTTTGTCATAATATGATGTTTACTTAACTGTTACGGAATCTCTAAACACTTATAAAAAGACCTTTAAGGACTTTGAGAAAAAATACATATTGGGATTTAGTTCATAATTTTGACACCCCCCCCCCAAAAAAAAATAAATAAAATATACAGCTTTCTGTTGAGTAATGAAGTTTCAAGAACATGATTTTGTCTTTAACTACACATACAAATGTCTACATAATTTTTTAATTAATGACAAAATCTTAGACAACCTAGATTCACTTACTGATTAGAAAGTTAATTATAGACTAGACTTAACCACAATTTTAAATCCTTTATCAACTAGCGCATCTTATATAAATGTGAGACAAACTCTTCAAATTTTCCTTGAAATAGGTTTGTTCAATTGGTCTCCAAGGTGACCCCTGGCATTAGGTTTTTCCCTGTGTTCAGGGGTATGCCTCGCTTTGGTATGTAAGGGGTTGTCCTGGGTACCATGGTGATGCAGTCAATAATTGGACACACAGACAGACACAGAGTGCAGCCTGCCAATCCAATAGAATGTAAAATGAGACAGAACCAAGATAAAATTATGTTACTGTAAATCACTTTTTATTCGCAAGAACTTTATTTTCGCGTAATTACATGAGACAGTGTGCTCGCGAAAATTGAATACTCACGTATAATAGTATTCCTTAAGATTATAGAGAGCATAACCACAATTCGTGAATATTTTGTCTCGCTAATCACTTCACTAGTAATTTCACTTTCTATTATTTTTCTGAATTCAAAGAATATCCTTAAATTAACTAAATTATAGAACACTAAATAGAAATAATTATCTCTCTCTCTCTCCTAGTTCAGATGGTTCTAAATGACTTACCTGTGCAATCATCCGTGACTGTAGGAAGATGGGTCTGAGGATCAAACTTGATAGCCTGGTATCCAGAGTCATTACAAGTCATATAACACTTTCCACAGTTAATGCACATCTCCTAAAATTTGTATGGCAAAATTAAAATACAAAAGCATACATATACAATCCTGGTCCTTTATAATTCATTTACATGGACACAAACCTCATCAATTAAGGCCACCACTTGTTCCTTGTTGTTCAGGTCCCCATAAGTTCCAATCCTGGACAAAGCCAGACCAATCACATCCTAAATAAAGTATACATATTTAGTTAATTATACTAAGTAAAGGTACTTTGACAATGAGTACATGTATGAGCTTTACACATCTTGACAATAATATCAATAATACTTTATTCATGAAAGGTTACCCTATTAGAGCAAGCCCTAGTCTTCCTAGCCCTCTTTATAACACATATACAATATTAATATACAATATTAATAAAGACAATAATCATAAAAATGAGTACAGTAAAACTCGGTTATAGCGAAGTCATGGGGACCTGTGAATCTAATTTGCTATATCCGTAATTCGTTATATCCGTGTAACGAATTCGTATAACTATATACAGTGAAATATCAGTATCTTGAATTTCGGGGGACTCGGAAAAAACTTCAAGATATCCGGGGGTTCGAGATATCCGAAGTTATCTTACAATTTTAAATCGGTAAATTTCTGTATGCTTGTATTGTATTTTTAACTCATGAACCATGTATATACATGTATCATAATATCAATCAAGTGTGATGTAAAGTCTCAAGCATTCTTGCAATAGATAAAAAATATTTTTCTTCTTTTTATCACGTAAAATCTTTAATGCAATGAATAAAAAAAATACATGTTACTTACTGATTTTATCGAAAATACGGCAATTTTGCGTAATCCAAACCATGCTTATGTGCTTACATTCTTATACTGGATGTATCATTTGCGTTAGAGTTGAAGAACCATTTACGTAAGAAAAGAAAAGCACGGAATTTTTTTTTCTATAGTTTATTGAATATTCGCTTCAAAGTATAATCTAGCACTACAAAAAACATAGTCTTTGTACATTGTATATATTAAGCGCTTGTTACAAAAGGAGCACTACTATAAACAATAGGACAACATAACACTTACGAATAATAAACAATGAAAACGGCACATGTTTATATCAGCACTAAAATAAACCTGGAAACAGTCGCACAGTCAATCACATAAAACACATCACATATCCCTGTCACTAGAAATGTCACTAAAAAAAAACTGTGTGATACAGGACTGCTGCAGCATAGACGATGATCTGAGTTCCTCAATCACAAGTCGGTGGTTGATTTTCTGGAGGCCGGGGAAAAGGTCTTCTGCGTTGTCCTTCATCTCAGCCCAGGTTTGTATGAGTTCATATGCGGCATGGACTTCAGGGGTGCAGGGTTTCTTCTTGGGTGGCCCGGGCTCATTTTCTTCTTCACTTTCTTCTTTCTCTTCACTTTCTGATGCCTTAATACTCTCTACAATGTCTGCATCTGTCGTTGATTCTGCTGTGTTGACATTTTCGTCGATCTGTGCGTAATCTTCAAAGGGCACTCGGAGGCGAAGGGCAGCTAGGGGGATGTCATCTTCTGGATCTTCTTTATCTTCATCTGGTGTGTTTTCTGGCTCATGGATGACAAATATGGCATGTCGAAAGCAGTTCTTGATGGTTTTCTCTGTAACTTTGTTCCAGGCGTTGTTGAGCATTCTGAGGGCGTCCAGGACTGTTATCTGTAACTCTGTCTTCTTCTCTATTAACTGCAGTTGTTTCAAAATGACTTGCTTTCTGTAGTGGACTTTCAGGTTCTGTATGATTCCTTGATCCATGGGCTGTGTCTTGCTTGTGGTGTTGGGTGGCAGGAAAAACAGGCGGATGGCTTTCAGACCGTCGACTTGCGGGTGGGCTGGACAGTTGTCGACGATCATGGCAACTTTACGTTTCTGGTGCTGAAAGCGTCTGTCCAGTTTTCTCAGCCAGGCTGTAAAAAGCTCTGATGTTATCCAGGCTTTTTTGTTTGCCTCGTAAGATGTAGGCAGTGTTTTGATGTTTTAAAAACATTGCGGGTTTTTTGATTTCCCGATCACGAGAAGTGGTATCTTTTCATTACCCGCCATATTAGCGCAAACCATAACAGTTAAGCGCTCTTTACTGTTTTTGCCACCATGGCAATCTACCCCTTTAAACTCTCGAGTTTTGTCGGGGAATAGGCGAAAAAACAGTCCAGTTTCATCAGCATTGAAGATGTCACTGTGACTGTATTTGCCTAAGAGGGTCTGAAGAGTGGAAGACCACTCTGTCATTTGATCAGTACCCTCATTTACGGCCTTTGATTCGCCACACACACGTTTAAAGGTGATGTTATGGCGCTCTTTGAAGCGCTCGAGCCACCCAGTGGTACACTTGAACTCATCGCCAAGCTGAGAAGCGAACTCCTGTGCTTTAGCGATGAGAAGGGGCCCGGACACTGGAACATTCTGGTCTCTGGCTGTCTTGAACCATTGTAGAACTGCTTGGTCTGTGTCTTTGTAGGTCGCCGTTCTCATCTTCTTTCTCTGTGGTCTGAAAGCGCTGTGTTCGTAGGCCTCTTTGATCTTCTCGGCATTCTTGATCCACGTTGATAAGGTGTTGGGGGGGGGATTTCATACTTCTTCGCAATGGCCGCTTTACTCTCTCTTCCTTTTTCAACATCGGCGATGGCTTGAAACTTTGTTACAATCGTATGGGTCTTTAGTTTTCTCTTGAGACCAGGTCTGGAATTCTTCTCTGTACTGTCTTTAGACATCTTGTTGAATGACGAAAAATTATTTTATGTCCTATTTTATAGCCTAACATTATAATTGTTTAATTCAAGTTCACTTTGAAGAATCCCAGTGTTTTTTGAATTTCCGATGTTAATCATTTAGCGTGCATTATTAAATGCATTATCGGTAATACTGACTGTATTAATTTCAGAGTGGCTGTGAACTTGTTTATTTATTAATCATAAACTACACCAAGCACCCAAGCTATCATACAGATTATCATGTCATAGTTACCCCTCATAAGCTTGGGATTAATTAAGATACGCTAGGATTTCGAAGGTGCTAATTAATTGCCACTGGCGAAAACGTGTGAAGTTCCGACACCAGGTGGGTTTAGTAGACCGAAAAATTCACTGCACTTCGAGATAAGCCAGGTAAAATTATGACTTGGGACCTTGAATATACTTCAACATAAGCGGGGTTATTCGAGATTACCGTGTTCGAGATATCAGTAGTTTTTTAATCATATATATAGAAAATACAGCCGGGACTGATGATCGACCTCAACATAAGCGGGGTATTCGAGATATCCCATGTTCGAAATACTGATATTTACCTGTATAGCAAATTCGCAATATGCACATTTTCCTATAAGTATTACTGTCGAATATGGTAGAGAAGCAATTATTACAACTCATGCTTTGGTTAACTAAAGTTTTCGTTATGAATTAAATTTCATTTGCAAATTCTTACTTAATAAAAATCAGTTCAACATATCTTATATTGAGATTTTGAAAATTCGTTATAAAAGATGTAAATTTCACCATTTTTAACCTCTGCGGGACTCAAAATCAGTTCGCTATATCCATAAATTCGCTGTATCAGAGTTCGTTATAACTGTAAAATTTTACAAAGAATTGTTAAAAATTTTGCCGTGGACTCCGAAAAACTTCGCTTTATCCGTGAATTCGCTATATCCGTGTTCGTACTAAACGAGTTTTACTGTAAAGCCACTAAAGGTACCTTGACAATTGGCACAGGTAAAAGTTTTACACACAATGACAAATAGTGACAATAATTCTACACACCTTAACACTGGGTATAGGTTTCTTTGGAGCATTAGGAGGTCTCTGGGCTTCTGGCATATTCTCTTCACTCAGCAGATCTTTCTTCTGGCAAATCTCATCTTTCAGTGCCTCTCTCTTGGCCAAATATGGTCCAAACGATGGCAGACTCTGAAGGAATATAGATTCATTGCAAAGTATCCTTACGGAATAACTTGTAAAACTGCAAATTCCTAATATTTTCATGAAAAGTATCATTAAAAAATCTTAAGTTGCATTATATTTTCTATAGCTTTCCTAACATCCATCACCATTCAATTAGTAACCTTGTATTGAGTGATATCCTTGACCCTCAGTGCACCCTTCTGCCCACATTAAACCCACTAGGTGACTTACCTCTCCAATGATATCTTTGACCTTCAGTACAGGTTTTCCCAGTTGATGGGGTTCAGTAGGGGGACTCTGTCCATCCCAGTTATGAAGTTCCTCAATACTCCTGAGGTAGAGGAGGGTCTTTAATCCTATGATGTAATCCTCAATAATGGTGTACTCCTGGTTGTGAATGGCACTGCACACCTACAGCATTTAAAGAGAAAATATGTAGAGGAACTATGAAGGTCTTAGAGAAGACCAGTGTATCCATTCACTTTTAGTAAAACGTAGCGGACATTTGCAAGAGTGCAAGTTTGGTAGTAAGCATCCTTAGGTGAATCATCCATAAAAGTTTGGTCTTCGCCATACTTATACATTAACTAAGGAATGTGCCTTTTCACGTTCATGTGGTCATTCCTACAATTTGTGAAACCTAACTGGTGCAATAAACCATACTACATGCTGTTTTGATCATTCTAAGGCGTGGAAGTCTGTTCCTAAAACCTAAGATACCAAAAACAATGCCAAGGGTATTACATTTTCTCACAACTTTGTTGAGGAGAGCTTCAAATACTGCCCAAATCATGTACTTTAAACCAACTTTTATTCGCGACGACAATTCACCATGGGTAAACTACTTTGCAAAGATTAATTTTTTGTAATCAGTTTTTTTTGATCTGTTGTTAATAGACACACAGGCTTTAAATACCGGTTCGCGGTGAGAAATAATCGTGATGACGAGGCTCTCACAAACTTCACAAAGAGGTCTTTCTCATGGGTGAATAAGTTGGTTTCCAGTATATTAAAACCAGAAGTCTCTGTCGAGACTGTAGCTCTACTGGTTTGTACTTATAACAAAGGATTTGAAAAGAATCCATTGCCATCACACCAAAACTGTAGAAGGAGTAGCGTTTTAAAGGAATTTCACAGAAAATTCTATTTTTAGTAACCATAGCAACACCGTTCATCAAAATCAGAAACCGATGCTCTATTTCATGTATCTTAGTGTAGTCTACTTGTGTGCCAAGTAATATTGAAATCAGACTAAAACTTTAGAAGGAGTAGCGTTTTAAAGGAATTTTACAAAAAATTCTATTTTTAGTAACCACAGCAACACCGTTCATCGATATCAAAAACTGATGCACTATTTTATGTATCTTAGTGTAGTCTACTTGTGTGCCTAGTAATACTGAAATCAGACCAAAACTGTAGGAGGAGTAGCGTTTTTAAGGAATTTCACAGAAAATTCTATTTTTAGTAACCATGGCAACACCGTATATAAAAATCAGAAACAAATGCATTATTTTATGTATCTTTATAGTGTAGTCTACTTGTGTGCCAAGTTATATTGAAATCAGACCAAAACTAAAGAAGTAGTAGTGTTTTAAAGGAATTTCACAGAAAATTCTATATTTAGTAACCATGGCAACACCGTTCATCCAAATCCAAAACCGATACACTATTTTATGTATCTTAGTGTTGTCTACTTGTGTGCCAAGTTATATTAAAATCAGACCAAAACTGGAGTAGTAGCGTTTTGAAAAATTGTTTACAGACGGACAGACAGACAGACGAACGGATGACGGATGCCTTACTATCGCATAAGCTCTTCTGGTCTCTGACCAGTAGAGCTAAAAAAACCAGAAGTCTCTGTCGAGACTGAAGCTCTACTGGTTTGAACTTATAGCAAAGGAAGAGAAAAGTACTTAAGCAGCTGGGATTTCAAACTTTAAAACAGCAATAAATAGAATAATGATCGTTGATAAAGTCTCTTTATGTGCTTAGTGTTGTCTACTTGTGTGCTAAGTTATACTGAAATCAGACCAAAACTGTAGGAGGAGTAGCATTTTGAAACAATTTTACAGACATATCTATTTTTAGTAACCACGGCAACACCGTTCATCAAAATTAAAATTCGATACACAGAATTATGTATCTTAGTGTATTCTACTTGTGTGCCAAGTTATAGTGAAATCAAACCTAAACTGTAGGAGGAGTAGCATTTTAAAACAATTTTACAGATATTTCTATTTTTAGTAACCACGGCAACACCTTTCATCGAAATCAAAAACCGATACAAAGAATTATGTATCTTAGTGTAGTCTACTTATGTGCCAAGTTATACTGAAATCAGACCAAAACTGTAGGAGGAGTAGCATTTTGAAAGAATTTCACAGAAATTTCTATTTTTAGTAACCAAGGCAACACCGTTCATTGAAATCAAAAACCGATACACAGAATTATGTATCTTAGTGTATTCTACTTGTTTGCCAATTTATACTGAAATCAGACCAAAACTGTAGGAGGAGTAGCATTTTGAAAGAATTTCACAGAAATTTCTAATTTTAGTAACCACGGCAACACCGTTCATCGAAATCAAAAACCGATACACAGAATTATGTATCTTGGTGTAGTCTACTTGTGTGCCAAGTTATACTGAAATCAGATCAAAACTGTAGGAGGAGTAGCATTTTGAAAGAATTTCACAGAAATTTCTAATTTTAGTAACCACGGCAACACCGTTCATCGAAATCAAAAACCGATACACAGAATTATGTATCTTAGTGTAGTCTACTTGTGTGCCAAGATATATTGAAATTAAACCAAAACTGTAGGAGGAGTAGCATTTTGAAAAATTGTTTACAGACAGACGGACAGACAGACGGACAGACGGACGGACGCCGGACGCATTACTATCGCATAAGCTCTTCTGGTCTCTGACCAGTAGAGCTAAAAAAAAGACTTGAAAATACAAATACATGAACTATATGCATGAAACATGTATAGATAACTGAATTTGCATCAACTAGAAAATATCATTTAGTGAGCTCAGTGCTCACAGTACCTCTAGTCTTACCTGTAAAACAGTGGCTCCTCCTTGTAAGAACTGTAACCCTGCCTCTGCTGAATCAATTCCCCCGGTGGCCAGAATAGGGAATCCTGGGAGTTCCCTGGCGATGGCTGTTACAGCCCTGAGAGCAATAGGTCTGATAGCATTACCAGACACGCCCCCATAGGTTGTACGGTGTTCCTTACCAACATTGGGCCAAGCTAAACCATTACTTTTGAGGCCCATCAGACCTGACACAGTGTTTGTAGCAGTCACCCCATCAGCATTACCTATAAAACATTATGTCTTTATATATTTACTTTGTTCATCTTTTATAGAATTTATCAACTTTCAAACAAGTGAGGCAAAGAATTTAAAAGATAGCTGTTCATACCTATTTTCTATACATGTAGGTGGGGCACAACCCTTACAAGCATTCCAATCCATACAAATTATTTTTCACCAGTATATGCCTCTTTCACTTTGAAGAAATAAAAATTTCAATTGTTTAATTTTCATTCATACAATTTTTATGCACCTTCTTTTGCTGCTTTGGCAATGGAGACAACACTGGTCACGTTTGGGGTCAGTTTAGCAAAGAATGGGATTTTGACGGCCTCTCTCACCCAGCGACAGATGTTTCTAACTAACTCAGGATCCTGAAATAAAGGAAGTGAAGTCCCTAGTTCAATTTGCATACCTTTTTTGTTTAGAGCAACTTTATTATCCAATCAAACATGGACAATTATTATAAGGGATTGATTTCTCACCTGTCCACAAGCCAGTCCCATTCCTCTTTCTCCCATTCCATGGGGACAAGACAGATTCAACTCCAGTGCATCAGAACCAGCTTTCTGTAATTAAAGAATAAATTATGTTAATACATTCTCAATCATTCTTTCTTTTTTTAATCAAACTCCAAAATTAAGACTAGTTCTGCTTTGTAAAATATCATTGTGTATAAAAACCTGATTATAATCAGAATAAGTTCAATAACCTAAGAAATGAAGTATGAATTCAAAGTCATTATACACTGATTTCAAAAATCTACTTCTCGAGACTTGTTAACCATCCTCAGTTGAGTGTTTTACCTCGGCCATCTTGGCTAGCTCAGTCCAGTCCTCTTTGTTATAACTACACATGATACTGCCTATCACAATCTGTAACAGAAATGTTTATCTGGCATAAAAATTCCTCAAAGGGTAAAAATGCTTCGTTTAATTATCTGTATCAAGAATCTTTAAAATTTATGGGGAAATCAGGGACTGCTAATTACCAAAGCAAATTGCCACTGATGGTACAGACCAACCATCCATACTGGATGCTTGTCAATAATTCTGCATTGAGCAACAATTATATGTGGTCAGTCAAAACCCATTTCACTTCCTATAACCATAATGTCATGGTAATAACAATTTCATAAATATCTGCTCTTTAAGAACCTTCAAAAGATTTACTAGTAGATTTATTACAATAATTGATGTCAAAAATCTACTTCTTAAGACTAAGGGAAGACTAATAGAGGGCAACATACGTGAATTACCTACATGTTTAGGAAAGTATGAAATATAACTTGTTACTTTGTTTAGCTTTCGCTTGCAAATAGTTTAATTGGTCTTTTCTTTTTTACCTCCACCTGTCAATTCAAATTTATATAATTATAGAACACATAATGGACTTTGACTGACCACTTGTTGCTGCTATCTATATACATCTACTAGTATCCCATCCAGGCATGGGCATGATTATTGAAAGATGTTATTGATTAATAATTCATTACTTAGATGAATTTTGGGACCCATACTCCTAAACAATCATTCTAGTATGGCATACATGTTAACCTATTGTGATGAAAAATAGGGAGATTCTGACCACAAAAGCGGTAGCATTGCGCGCGCGTTGTTTTACGCTTGGATTTATGAAGATATATTGCATATAATGTATGGCTTTAAATGAAATACTGTATGCATTTGATCAGTATAATTGGTGTTGTTAAATTCTGTGATTTATATGCAAAGTAATATTGATGTAATTGAAAACACAATCCAGTCTATGAGTAATATACTAATCAGTTATCAATGTGGTACAAAATATTTACCAGGCCCACTCGATCAAGCAAACCGATATGCTATTATTGGAATGATGGGAGATTATTGAAACACTTAGATGTTGAAGGAAGTCTGTTTAGATTTGTGAAGCATCTAAATGTTGAGGAAAGTCTGTTTAGGTTTGTTAAGTAATTAGATGTTGAGAAAAGTCTGCTTAGATTTGTAAAGTACTTACATATTGATGTAAGTATGTTTATATTTATTAAACACCTACACGTTTAGGGAAGTTTGTTTAGGTTAGTGAAGCATTAGATGTTGAGGGGCATCTAGTAAGGTTTGTGAAGTACTTACATGTTGAGGGAAGTCTCTTTTGAGTTCTGTAATGCTCTGACACCAGTAGGCTGCTGTCTTCTCACTGATCAGTTCTATGTTGAGGTAGGCGCCCTGTCCTGGACCATAGATATGACCTGAGGTGGTCCCCCTCACAATTCTTGGGGAAACATTTGTCACAATATCCTTTCAAATAATATAATGGTTAAACTTCAATGGAAAGCATATCATCAAGAGCCAAAAAAAAATCACAACCAAAAATGAGCATACTAGACAAAATAATTGTTTGATCAAAACAAGAGGCCCATAGGTAACATCGCTCACATGAGTAACTTTGGTGATGCAGTACTTTACCAGATTTCCCCTCTTGTTATACCTATTGTGGCCACCTCCCCTCTCATGATTTTAATACTTTAGAATCTACACTACCCCATGATGCTTCCACATAAGTGACAACTTTTCTAGCCCAGTGGTCTTGAGAAGATTTTTAAAGATTTTTCCTATATATTCCTATGTAAAAATTGGATTCCCTATTGTGGCCCGACTCTACCCCAGGGGTCATGATTTTAACAATTTAGAATTGACACTACCCCAGGATGCTTCCATATAAGTTTCAGTATTCCTGGCCCAGTGGTTCGTGAAAAGAAGATATTTAAAGATATATATTTCTATGTAAAACTTAAATTCCCTATTGTGGCCCCGCCCTACCGCTGGGGTCATGATTTTAACAATTAAGAATCCAAACTATCCCAGGATGCTTTTCTGCTTTTCTGGTCCAGTGGTTCTTGAGAAGAAGATTTTTAATGACCCCACCCTAATTTTATCTTCTCTTGATTATATCCCCTTGTAAAGGGACTTGGCCCTTCATTTTTACAATTGATACTCCCCTTTACCCAAGGATGATTTGTACAACGTTTGGTTATAATTGGCCCAGTGGTTCTTGAGAAGAAGTTGAAAATGTCAAAAGTTTACAGACAAATGGACAGACAATGGACATCGGGTGATCAGAAAAGCTCACTTGAGCTTTCAGCTCAGATGAGATAAAAACTTGTCATTTTTAAAAATCCCAGATATTCTATTTTAAACTTTTAACGATTTACAGTTAAAAAATGATAAAAAACATGATTTTTACCTTGTCAAGAGAAAATGTTTTGGTCAGTGCGAATCCCCATCCAGCCTCGAATGCCCGCCTGATCATGGTACTACTGGTGGTGGGCGTGGCACTGGCCAGACCAAAAGGATTGGGGAACTTCAACCCACACATTTCTACACTCACGTCCACCTTATCAATGGGGGTGAAGAACTTGGGCAGGGATGGTGTGGACGGAATTGGAATTCCATGTAAAGCCTGTAAAATTTTGTTTTTAAACATTTTCTTTTAAATGTTGCTGCTTTTTATCATAAAATGAAATCTTCATTTCATAAATTCTAATTCTTAAATTTTCTTTTTTCTTTAAATTCTAAATTTTAAAATTGAGTTTTTAAACTCAAACCTGCAGATATTTGTGGATGTACCAGGATGCTTGTTTTCCGTCATTGACAGACTCCACTGTTGTCTGGGCCACCCCTGCTAGATCCCCTCCACAGAATACCCAGGGTTCACTGGTCTGCATTGTCTTGGAATCCACCTCTGGTAATCCCCATCTGTTCATCTTGACTGGACTCATGGCCTCAATAACTATGATTTAAACACAAATCATTATTGGTCAATTTTAACTATAGAATGAATCACTTGTGCATCGTCAATGCTAACAAGGGCACTGCAAAGAGGAGCACCCCTTGTAAGACAACCTTTATCCCAATACAAATTATATTAATTATTTCAATTATGTAGAACTTACTAACCAACTTACACACTCATGTGTTACTACAGTAAAACTAAGCTATAAGAAAGTCACTGGGTGTCTGGGACCTATAAAATTAGTATTACTTTGCTTCATCCTTAATTTCTTTTATCCATATAAGAAATTTGTTAAATTTTATAGATGGGGATCTAATATAACTTTGCTTTATCAGAGAATTTGCAATATCTGTGTTTGTACTAAAGTTTTGCTGTTATCTCCTAAAAATAATATTAGAATATCCACAACTTTCTTTTTACATGCACTTTTAATTGTTTGAATGCTTTTCAATTTCAATAATTATTCCAAAAGCTACTTGTCTTTGTTCTAAAAATGATCAGATTTAATATGGAAATAAAAATTTTAAAATTCCCTGCTGGAAGATAAATGATAAACAAAACTTAGTCTTAATGATTTCCTTTAATAAAGATAAAAAAAAACTGGAAATGCACATTCAAGAAACTAGAACTGTCCAAACGGAACAAAATATCCCCCGCTGGGTTTTTCAGAAGTAAGTTTTTCCATAATAAATATATGTATTAAACATGAATTATGAAATTTTTCTTCCAGTGACCTTGAACTTCCCCAAATGACCTTGGGTCAGGGTCATGACACACTCTTGGGTCATGGGCAATCTTTGTATGAAATGAAAACCTACCAAGTTTATCCATAAGAAAAATATGGACCGGACACAAATTATGAAATTTTTCTTCCAGTGACCTTGAACTTCCCGAAATGACCTTGGGTCAAGGTCATGACACACCCTTAGGTCATGGGCAATATTAGTGTGGAGTAGTAGATTCTAATGTCCCTCTGTAAGAAAGATATGGACCGGACACGATTGCACAGACAGACGGACAAGGTGATTCCTATATACCCCCCCCAAACTTCGTTTGCGGGGGGTATAATAATTTTCAATTCTATTCAGTTCATTTAAACGTAATATCTTTGAAGTCTCTACTTTTCCAAGTATTACGATCTTCACATGCTTTGATATTATTTAGCTCTAGCACATATTATGTACATTAAGTGCATAGTGTTGTTATTTAAAAATGTTAATTTCAGTGATTTACTAATACACACCATCTGTTTCCGTCAGTCCTGAGCCAAATGCTGAGATGATGTAATTAGCCTTGATGCAGATGATCTCTTCCTCATCTTCCACCCAGTTCCCTTCATCATCCATCTCTGTTCTGACAAACTCCATCCCCGTAATCACTCCATTCTTTGTCGTCACTTTTCTGGGGGCCAGGAAGGGCAGGAACTCACATTTCTCTTCTTTTGCCAACTCCATCTATGGAAAAAGTCAAATAACTGAGTTAACAAGCATTCTGAGACTATTGCATAAGCAATACATGTCCCCTACCGGGTTCCCCCTTTTCTTTAGAATGTCATTTTATAATATTTACATTTCCAAATAATTTTACTTAAGATTCTTTGCAAATAGGACGACTGTTCATTTTCTCATGAACTACCATGGGTGAGCATGAATATCTCTATTGTTACGTCATAATACCGCACTTGATGTCAAAACTATAGTGCAAACCATTTTGCTTTAAAAATGACAGTTAAATGGCATTAATTTTGTGGCAAATCATCAGAAAAATAATGTAAATATAAGAAATGAATTTAATTTTTGAAGATTCATGAAGTGTACGAACTACAACGCTTCACGCCGGTATATTTAGTTCATAACCTCATGAATCTTCAAAAATTAAATTCATTTCTTAAATATGCAAAATTTATGA